TTTAACGACAAATTCAATCATATATAATAAAGTTGTATTCCGAAGTCATTATATATATGTATATGGAAATATTACATAAAATACCGTACATAATTATTGCATACAAGAATAACAAATATTCATGGTTAATATCGGTTACAAAGATGATGATCATGAAAGAAATGATACAAAGGGATTTTTTACACCATGCGCAAGAAATTACAGCAATTTCACCGCAAATATCACATGTTGGTTTTAAATTAGTTTTGAAACAAAAATCTACTGGTGTATCAAATTCTTCTGGTTTCTTTTCTAAATAACCACTTTTATACCATGCATATTTGAATAAATTTTTAAACCTTGGTGATGAAAATTGATTATGTGTTAATGATTGTAATTTTAAAATATTGTTTCTTGAATGAAGCTTGACGTCAAGATCTAAAAGCATGATGGTATCTGAAAAATGTCTAACAAAATTTTTCCATAAACGAAAACCGAATACATCTAAAGGTTGTATTTTTCCCGTTGCTCCAGCTGGTATAGTTAACAAATTAATATTGTCTATAAAATCTGGTTTGTTTCTTTGAATTATATCAGGACAATGACCAGTCCAAGAATCTAATAATAACACTGATTTTGGTCCAACATTTGGAAAAAACACTTCTTTTATCCAGATCTCAAAATGATGCGATGTTAATTTTCCAGATTTTGATGCCATGACAAAGATATTATTATCTTTAAACATTGTTTCTTTTACTATTGGACCAAATGTTCCAGTAGGTTCTTTTAAAACAATAAACAGAGGCGATAATAATCTACCATCAGCTGAAACAATAGGTTGTATAGTATAACTATGTGTAGTTGCTGATATGGATTGTACTATGCGCTCTACTTTTTTAATACCAATAGGTGATAGTGAACGACCGGAATGAAATTCTAATTGAAATCCACTTTGGTCCGAATTATATACATTTTCAATTCCATATTGTATAATAGAAGATTTAACATTTTCGATAAATGACTTGCTTCGTGCTTCTAAATCTTTGTCTGACGCTAAATTTTTTTTTGTTATAAATTTTGTAATTTTTCTAGATACGATATTATGTGCAAGCTTAAACCTTTTTACCCATGATAATGATGCTGTAAACCCAAGTAGATTTACTTCCTTCTGTGCGCGAAGAGCCCATCGAGCAATATCAATGTCATGAATAATTATTCCCTTTTCAATACCTTCATGGAATTTATTTAACGTATATGTTGAAATTTCTTTCAGTTTATCAAATCTGTTGCCACCTTGATTTACTTGCTGCTCCCATCTTCTTAATTGACGTAATGACGTGACTTTCCGAAATCTATTTCTTATAGATGCAAGAGTTCTTGACTTTTTTGTTCCACTTCTCCATAACTCTACTGCATTTCTTTTATATTCTATTGGTACAGAATCCGCAACACATTCAATTTCTTTTACAAAATATGTGTCTTCTTCTCTTTCTTCATCAATTACAGGTTCTACTTCAGGTATATCAAATTCGTTTTGAAAATCTAATGATGATTCTTCATAAACTTCAAACGCTTCTTCATACATTGATCGAAGCATATTTTCCATCATGTCTTTTGTTTCATTTTCATCTGTTGTAACAGGACTTTCTGGGAATTCCCCAGTCATATACAGTGCAGTGTATAGCAGTACTGCTACATTTCTTGGATTAAACATTATCTAAAAAAATTATTAACATTATGTATATTTGTTTTATAAATATTAGCAAAAAAATACTTATTAGCAACAAAAATATTTTATTATTTAATGCGTATTAATAATTTGTTACGTTTTCCGAGTTTCATGAAAAATAGAACAGTTTTATCACATAACTTAAATAAAGTAATAAAATATTAATTATAATTTAAATACATTAAAACAAAACAGATAAACCGCAATTTTGAATGAAGTGTAAGTAAAAGCAAAAAACTATAAAAGTTTTAAAAATCGAAAAAGTACATACATACTGTATTGTTGTGTGCGTGGGGCACAATTGTTTTTTCAGGATAACGGCTAGTCTTGTTAATTAACTCGAGCACTTGTTAATTATTTGATAACTGATTTGTGACTGTCCGCCGCTTCTAGGCGGTGGCTTTTAACGCCTCCGGTTCTGAACGATTATCGGAGGAGGATCGCGCGGTGGCATGACCAAATAAAATCATTGGTTATTTCTAAAGTGGCGTGATCAAAATGCAAGCGAAGGAAGTCCGAAGACTTCCTCGCATTTTATTGCAATTCAGCGCTATTTCGAGAGTGATTTCTTCCTCTGTTTGATGACTTGGCCGTGTGATACTGGCTGTATCAGCACTTCGGGCAGCTGACTTTCTTATCGCGACGCATTTTTTCGCTCGCTTTATAAGTTATAATCCTTTTAATTATTTTCTTATATATATAAATATATTTACTATCGCGCTCGCGTATATTCGATAGACGCTTTAATAGTAATATGTGTTCCACTGCACGCAGTTGTTAATAAAATAATATATTGCACCAACTCATTTCGCGAATGCGACATCTGTTTATTCATAGAATTGAATCTATTAACATCGGCATCTGATCAATAATTTTCCTTGTCCGACTAGTTTTATTTTTCATGCATTAAAAACATTACTTTTCCATATAAATTATATGTATATTTATTGTCACATAATATAGACATATATTATAATTATAATTATTATATAATTTATAATTATATTTATAAATATAATTTCTATAATTTATAAAAATATATTCTCATAAATTATTTATTGCTAATTTATGGTTGCCTCTGTGAGTTTGCGAAGAAAAATGACTGTCGCTGTGAATAACGAGCGTCATAAGGCGGATAAAGCGGGCGTATAGTAGTGTATAGGGATATTTTTAATTTATTTCTGAAAAATGTGACTTCGGAATACAACTTTATTATATATGATTGAATTTGTCGTTAAATGAGCTATAAGTTTTGTTATGAGACAAATTTAAAAATTTTCAAACATTAAAAGGGAGGGGGGGGGGATTTCGAAAAATATGACATTTTCGACAAATTTGATTACATGATTTTGAAGTACATTAAAGACCATAAAACTTTTATTTGAAACTTTTGTTTATATCTCTTATCGCTTCGACGGTATCCGCTGAGAAATGAAAAAATCGATTTTTTTCAAGAAGGTGTTTCACCCCCTTAACGGCCGACTCAGCACTTATAAAAAAATACGTGTCTCCTATTTTGATCTAGACTGCAACATATTCAAAGCTCATTAAAATCGGAGGGGGACACTTCCGACCCTTTCCTTGTAAGAAATAAACAGAATTTTAACCCGAAATAGACGGTATACGTATTTTATATAAGTTCGATATACCTCGAATCGAACCTTTTCTCACGGCAATTAACGATGACTTTCGACAAAGTCTTGATGAAAAACAAAAGCTTTCTTTAACGGTAATTTCAAGGAGGTAGACGGAAATTGTTTACCCGATGTAACGGTCGCAGCATGACCTTTTGTTTCGTTAACAATAGCACGACGTCCGCGTAACGGAAATTTCGAACAAGTGATACATTAAATACTTTTCGGCGGAGATTTCGCGTAATATTCTTGCAGAGCCGTTCTCTTAATTTCGGTAACACACGCTCGCGAAGAAATTACCCGCTCAAATCCCGCTTTCCGGTATGCGATATACTCGACCAAAAATTACCGCGTCACGCTCGGAGTATCGATACAAAAAAAAAACGTTAACGGGAACGATACAATTTTTAAACGATACGGAAACGATACATAATACCACGGACTGACGGCACGAACACCCCTGAGAGGGACAAATCCGCGACTCCGGGGACAGCTGGCGTCCGACAACTACGGTACAAGTATCAAACTTCACGGTAATCTTTATTACGGTATGATAGCCGCCCTGCGACGGTATCTCGGCACGATGACACCAGCTGATCCCGGATGAACATTTCTAATCGGCTACTTGTGCGACGGCTTACAATTTTGTTCAGGTGGCTGCTCCCTCAGGATCGTCTCTTCTAGGTTCTCGCTGATGTGCACCGGACACTAGCTCACCGTACAGTGACGATCTTCGTCTGTGCTCACAAGGCCCTCGAATCCCGCGCCGATCTTCCGCGCATTTTGTCGATTCCGGGAAAAATGGGGTGGATTCTCCGCCCCCTCGAAAGTTGCTGATGTTTTACGGCGTTGCCCTTACACAGAGGCCCAGTATTCCTCAGCGACGGTGCTCGTGCTGGTGCCGATTCTCGGGGACGTGACCGGCTGGCCAGGCCGTATCCGCGTCTCCCTCCGAGATTTTTGTTTTCCAGTCGGCCGCCTGTAAAGTTGCTTTCGGCACCGTCGTCTGGATTCGCTGCCATTTCTTTTTACATCTGAAAAATATGCAGACTTAATCTCCCTGACATTACTAAGAGCGGCGGCGCGGGACCTTAGTACTTGACCTGATGCTTGCGGTATCTCCGGTATCTTCTCGGTATCCTTGGTATCTTGCGGTAGCTTCTTTTACAAATGGTCGATCCTGCACGCACGCACAGTAGCCGTATTCGCATCGCGGGTCTTAAATTTCGCTAAACACAAGTCTATGCATTTGAATAATAAGTAGCGGTAGTCTCCTCTCAGGCGCGAGAGACGATCCCGCGCATGCTGTTTTCCCTCGGCAGGGAAATCGTGACGGAGCTTAAAAAGCGTCACGTCACAGTAGATATCGCCACCTTTTTTTAATTTCGGTTACACTCATTATGCCTATAAATACACATTTAAATAAAATGTTTGATGTTCAATAATATCATCATACATGGCCAAAATATAGATACTAACCTCCTAATGAGTTGCATATTTCTTGCCACAATTCATTTTTTTTTAAAGTGCTTCTTTCATTTGCTGATATCCGATGATCGAATGATGCTCGCTTCTGTGATACATAATATATTAATAACTCATCTTTATCAATTTCTTGTGAATTATTTAATTCTTCTTGTGAATTATTTAATTCTTTATTTGGTAAAGTAAATTCATTGAACTCTTCTATGCGAGATACTAAAATAAGAGGAACAATTATAACAGTGGCAAACAGAAATTTGTCAGTATCATTGCCAGACAGTATAATTTTTCAATAAATAATTCAAAAGATAATGGCATACTTTGTCAAAAAAATATGCTTCAATTACTAAAATAATACTTACTGACAGTGACTACTAAATTTTCATCCACGTTTATACAATCATTGTCCTTGTTAAATGGTTGAAAACAAGAGTGGTCTAATAAATTAAAAGATTGTGGGAGAATGTATCCACAATACCCACATTTTTTATTCTATAAAATAAATAATAAACAATCATAACCACCAATATCATAACCTCCCGTATAAGTAATAAACTTATATTTTGTAAAAAAGTTGTTAAATATAATATTACAATAATATTAAATTATTAATTTAAAACTTAATGTTATTTAAAATATTTTTTAATAATATGTTTACGGATATTTGCTGTTTCGACATTTTTCATCATACACACAATTTCGAAGTTCCGCACAAAATGTGTATAAAATAGAAACTTGCGGATAGAAATCGGCGGAACAGACGTAAAACAGGTTAAACCAATCACGAGCGTTCCGCCAATTCCGCATTGCGCATACGTTCCGTATCATGGGACCGCACCATTACCCCCGCGATCGCTGAAAGACTCTTGGCTACTGTGTACAACCATGTAAATATCGCGGGTCCGGTGAAATTCAAAGTAGGTGACTCGGTACGCGTTAGCAAGTACAAGACAGTTTTCGAGAAAGATTACACGCCAAATTGGACAACCGAGGTGTTTAAAATTATAAAAGTGCAGCATACTAATCCCGTAAGCTATCTACTTGAGGATTATCACAAAAAATCTATCGCTGGAGTGTTCTACGAACACGAGTTGCATCGCGCGAATTATCCGGACGTGTATCTCGTGGAGAAAGTACTGCGCAGGAGGGGTGATGAGGTTTACGTGAAATGGCTGGGATTTGACAATTCACACAATTCTTAGATACATAAAGACAATGTGATTTAATTAATCATACAGTGTTTATTTTTTAATTTTCTGGAAAAAATATATATGTATAACATTATAATATTTGAAAAAAATAAAAATATACATAAAAATATACATAAAAAATCCTTATCAATATTCTTTTCTATAGTACATGTATTTTTAATAAGTTATAATAAGATGTATGAGATACACATAAAAATATATGAAATATAAAAAAATACAAAAAATCCTTATTAATATTCCTTTCGATAGTACATGTATTTTTTTTTTTTTTTTTAATAAGATAATAAGATATATGAAATATACATTACATTACATAAAAATATATGCAATATAAAAATTTTTATTAATAATTCTTTTAATAGATAATTTATCGCACACATTTTACATTTTATATATTTTACATTACATATTACAATGGTATCCTATAATGTCCCCATGGTAATATATCTGTGGTTTCGGGTACGATATACCGCTTATCGTCGTGTAACGTTCCGTTTTTCCCGGAGATTAGATTGCGGATAAACTCGTCGGATTCGGGGTAATGAATGGTGAGCGAATTGTGATGTAAAAAGAAAGAATGTATTTATTCAAATCGAATGCGTGTGTACAAGTAGTGTGTATCTTGCTGCGATTATAAATGTGAGCGTGTTCGAGTGTATAAACGTCTGAATGCGCATGCAAAATGCAGGTGGTTCAATGCGCCGGTATAACTGTGGTTCGTAAATTCGATAAATTCGCTGGTATGATACGCGTGTATAAAAACGTTGTTTTGACGCGTGCGGATATGCGCTCAGAATCGGTCGAAGACCTCGCGTTGTTGTGCCGGTGTTTTTACCGCGTTTCTTGCACGGGGAATCCCGTCATTCCGGGAATCCTGTGTACGAAGAAAAAGCCGGTGAATTCCAGGAAATAATACGCTATTTCCGCGAAATAATATGCGATCTCCGCGAACGGAAATATCGCGCTAATAAATCGGGATCGCGCTTTAAGAACAGCTGGCCTCGAGAACTCTCGATCGGGGCGGCTCTGAACTCCACCTTTTGTGGGTTTTGCCAGCCGGGATGTGGAGCAGCGGATGGAGGCAGTACCCCACGCGATAGCGAGAACTCTCGGCTTAGGCTGAGTACTCTCAACCGGTTCGATCGGGGCGGTAGTGCCGGTTTTAGGTGCTTGGTAATTTCTCTCGAGCGTACAGCTTAAGAGCGGAACAGGAGAATGTGTTTTTTAGCTGAAATACGGCCTTTTTATACCGGCTAATTACCCGCGTCGGCGCGCGGCGGTGTTACCCCTTCCGAACGGGTTAATTGCGGTACGGTACGGTCGGGCCCGTTCGGAGGGATTCGGGTTTGCGCCGAGCGCGGGTTTTCGCCGGTCGATCGGGCCGCGTCGGCTTCGCTCGGCAATTCTCGGCCGTTTTGGATTTACAACGGCCCCGATTTTTGAAAAGTATTAAAAATGTGGGCGCACCGCGCCCCTGCCTCTGCCCGGCGGGTGTTCCACCGGGCGGCAGCTTCCGGCGGTGTTGTTGCCGGGAATTCGGAACGGTGCATCGGAGTGCACCGTTACAGTCGTACGGACTCAAAGCAATTTTCGTCTCGCGGATCGTGTATACTTGGTGAAGTTCAGATCGTATACACGACTGCTGGCGAGTCATTTCAATTTCTTCTTTCAAACACCGCGTGTAATCGTCAAATGTTATCGTTCTCGCGACAATGTTGCTCTTGACGCCTTTAACTTTTTTTGTATCCTTTTTCCCATCGACTCGTAATGCGTACATCTTTGCTCTGAGCCCGACGAATTCGGTCATTATTTAGCACCGTTATTTTCGTCCTTCATCAGGCCCGGTACTTTTTTATTTTCAAGCGGTATACCGTACGCATTGTCCACCGCATAATCGCTCGTGTCAAATCTGGCGATATCGCGCTTCATGTTCTCATACACATCAACGCACTCAATGTGATATATCAAACTATCTGTGTCGGTATACATAATCTTACATTTATCGCGATACTGAGGAGACATGTACTCGTGATGAAATTCATACAAACATATCTTGGATATGTCGAGTATGCACATACCCACATAAATCGGTTTGTAGAATTTCACCTCGAGTTTGCGCAATTCTACCGCAATCAGATTTTCCGAAAAAACGCTTCTGCTATGGAAATTCGGTTTCGCGATCATCGCTTCCGCGCCGTATCGACCGTTCCATTTTGTTAATAATTTTACATCGACACGATTCCGCACATTTTCCATCGTTTTGCCAAACACAGCATTATTCATTAATTTATATAAATTTTTCTCGAAATCGTTTTTCGCGAGTGTTCTGAAATGTGTATTTAATTCGATATAACTGCGAAGCCATGGAGATTGCGTAAATTGTAATACGCGATATATTTTTGTTACACGAAGGCCGTGACGCGTACATTGCTGTAGGTTACGGTAGTGTATCACGTAACGCTTCTTATCGTATAACGTTGCAAGCAGTTTGAATTCCCGCTTACCGAGCGGCTTGTCGCGCGTCGGACAAAACGGTAGGTCAATGTGCGTATCGTGAAGATGTCGCGGGTATTCGAGATCGACTTCGAGGATATAGCCTGTAGGGGAATCTAGTGCGATAGATGACGCGTCAAAATTCGACACGTCGTCGACCCATCGAAAATCGGCATAGGGCAACGGTTGACACATTGCCCATCCATATAAATTATTAACGTCAAAATACATCAAGTATGACGATGGTTTCGTTGGATCGTACGATTCTTTCATGTACGTGTTATTAGCGCGCGCGTATCTGTTGGAACATTGGCTCAGACCACCGCGTATACCGCATTCGATGAACATAACCATGTCGATGTCTGTAAGCAGCTCTAACGTGATTATCGTATGCATCAACATGGCGTCCCATGTGTATCCGGGGAGAGTATAGTAATAAGCGGGGTCGAGTTCGTAACTTTCGATACATTTATCTCGAAAGTTTTCGAAAATATCGGCTAATAACAAGACGTCGATTTTCAGATACAAATCGCTATATTCGCCTAGCGTCCGAATGGAGAATCGCGACCAGACGTTCTCGGCGTGCGCGTAATCGTTCTCGGATACAGTTTCGCCGGTCAAAGAACTGTAAAATGATTCGCGCGATGGTAAACACGTATCTTGCAACCTGTCGACGGAATCGATGTATTCGTACGGAAATACACCTTTTCGCGTTAACAAATTGAAATGTTCTGCAGATAAATTTTGAAATTGTGAATGTAAAATTTTGAGTTTATCTTTCTCTAGATAAGATACCAATTTGTCGAGACTTGCTGTAAGAAATTTATACGAATCGATAAAACTTAATTTTATATAATTTTTCCAATTGTCCTGTGCGACTTTAACAGTTTTTGTAAACGAAATATATTTTTCCTTGGTTATCGGAAGTAATTCGATTTTCCCTTCGAACGCCGTAGCAATATCTTCGATAATAAAATGTGCATCGTAACCTGATAAATTATGAAATACTATCGGAATATATAATGATTCTTTGTAATTTAGATTGCAATTTGAGTGTGCTGGACCTCTATACCGACCGGTCAGATGGCAATGATCGCGTACGCGTGTATCGTCTTCTTACGTAAACGGTTTTTCGCATATATGACAATACGTTGCGCTGTGAAATTTTTCCCACTCTTCCGATGTTAAATTTACCATAGGGACATTAGTCGTTAAAATATTTTTAACGCGAATCGCTAAATTTTTAAGATCTTCGACGAACCATGCTATACAATCGGCGCTACGACGCGAATGATACGCCGATAAAGATTCGTCGTACGAACAATGCATATAATACGCTATACTAAATACCCGATGATGCTGGTACGCGTTCTTTTCTTTCTCTTCCTCCATCTTGGCCAAAACGCATTCTAAGTCGGCATAGACCACAAATGGAAGCCGCTCTTTCCTGTTGTAGTTGTGGAACTCGAGCCACTTGTCTTTGTCGCTCGGCAATCGGATAGCGCAGTCGTTCATCTCCCCGCAGTCGACCGTATGCGACTGCAACTTGGCGTCCGAACCAAAATAATGCAAGCATCTGTAAAAGAAAGAAAAATTTTAATTAAGATTTAAACAATCCATATTGTAATTATATAAATTATAATTATTCAAATAATATAAAATAAACTTACCGGTCGCAGATATATTTGTGATTCTTGTGTTTGCTCAGTTGTGAGCTCACGAGCC